CAGCCTGGCCAAGATGGAGAAACCCCGTCTCTACTAAAAACACAAAAATTAGCTGGGCGTGATGGTGGTCACCGATAATCCCAGCTATTCGGGAGACTGAGGCAGGAAATTGCTTGAATCCGGTGTCAGGTCTCCATATGCAAACCTAGAGCCTCAAAGTCTGAAGTGTTGCTTGCCTCCTGATCGTCTCCCACCCGCCGCCTGCGTTCGCCATTGTCCCTGAGCGCCCAGTAGAGCTTCCCCGGACAAGCTCCTCACCCAACCCTGCCATCTCAACTCTTCTTATGAATGTGAATACCCCTCACCCATCCTGTCATCTTAACTGCGCTTCTGCGTCACCCCCAGCCGCCACTGTAACTGAACTTGAGGTCATGTACACTCCTGGCCCCTACCCACCACTGTAACTGATCTTACTCTGTAACTTTTCACTGCCCGCCCCAAACCTGTAAAACCAACTCCTATCCCACTGCCCTTTGCTAACGCCCTTTTTGGCCTAGTCGACCTGCACCCAGGTGAATAAACAGCCACGTTGCCCACACAAAGCCTATCTGGGGGGTTATCTTCATTCAAAGTGCGAATTTTCAACATTTTGGTACCAAAACCCGGGATGGGGGAACTCCTTCAGGAGACCAAACCCCCGTCCCTGCTCTTGTGCTCCCTCCATGAAGAGATCGACCTACCGACCCAGGTCATCAGACCAGCCCACACACACCACCGGCTGTTTTGGTAAGCAGTCTCTCTTTTTTGTTTTCCCATTCTTTTATCTTTTCCTTTCCATTTCCTCCCCCTTTCGGTTTCGTCGTTTTTCCACCACAAACACAAGGAAAATCAGGTAAACCAGGTTCTTCCGTGAGGTTCGGGACTCAAAAAACCCTATGTAGGTCATGGACCCAGGTTCCCCAGGGGCTTGATTATCATGGAGACGTTCGCCCTAGTCACTCACCCACCAGGCTCAGGGCCAATATTGGTGGCAGGTCAACATACAGGACGCTCTCTTTGACCGCTCACCAACGACAAGGTTCAGCCCAGGCTCACCGAGGGACGCCTGTTGAGCGGCTGGGTTGTGTGCCTATTCTCCTTGTCTCTGCTGTCTTTCCAGACCATGAGCAATCAACCATCCTCTACCCCTCCCTCCTCTCCGCTGGCCTGTGTTCTAAGAACCTCAAACAATACGAGTTAAACAATGGCTCCAATTGGCCAAAAATGGCACCTTTCACCTCTATTTCATGAAATTAAGACAATTTTTGTCACAACATGGGCAAATGGTCTGAAATTCCCTACGTCCAGGCATTTTTTTTTTTACACACCAATCCCTCCCTAATCTCTACCACTTCTCTTCGCTTCCGTCTGCCCCTCCTTCCTCTGCGGGTAAGCCAGATTCCTCACTGTCCATCAGCCTTCTGACCTTTCTCCTTCCTGCCTGTGAACCAGGCCCTCATCCAGGACCTAACCCCACCCTAAGGCCTTCCTCATCTTCCTCTGCCCACAACCCGCCTCCTCATGCCCCTCCTGTCACCTCCCACCTCCTACGCGGCCCAGCTTACAGTTAGTCCTGCGGCTGCCTCCTGCACCCCTGCCCGACAATCCCCCTTTCAGAGGTGGCTGGAGCCAAAGGCATAGTTAGGGTGGCGTCCCTTCCCTTTATCTGACCTTTCCCAAATCGACCACCGGCTCCTTTTCATCAGATCCTCCCATACTTCACAGAGTCCTATAACCTCACCTGGAGTGACTTAAATGCCATCCTTACTTCCACTCTCACCCCTAAAAAATGCTTAATATGCATTTTATCACCCAGTCAACCCCAACATTACAAAAAGGTAGCAAGAAGTACAATCTGGCCCTCAAACCCCACTACAAGAATTAGGCAACCTTACCTTCAAGGTGTTCAATAACAGGGAGAAATCTGCCCAGCTTCACATCTCAGAGCTGCAGATGCTGCCTCCTCCGTAAGACAAACCCCAGCCACACCACCGGCTCACAGAGACTTCAGCGCACCCAGACTGCAGCGTCCAGCCAACCCCCCGGACCTTGCTTCACGTGTCGGAAACCTGGCCACCGGGCCAAGGAGTGCCCGCAGCCCGGGAATCCTCCTGAGCTCTGCCCCGTCTGTGCGGGGCCCCCACAGAAAGTCGACTGTCCAACCCAGGTCGCTGCTCCCAGAGCTCCTGAAGCTCCAACCCTCAGCTTGGCGGCTAAAGACGGACGCTGCCCGAGCATCTCAGAAGCCCCCTGGACCATCACAGATGCCAAACTTCGGGTAACTCTTACGTGGAGGGCAAGTCCATCCCCTTCTTCATCAGCACGGAGGCACCCACCCCACGCTGCCTTCCTTTCAAGGACCTGTCTCCTTGGCCGCCATGCTGTGTGGGAATTGAGGCCAGGCCTCCAGGCCTATCAAAACTCCCCACGTCTGCTGTCAATCAGGCCGGCACTGCCTTCCACGTCCTTTCCTAATCATCCACACCTGTCCAGTTCCCCGTCAGGCCAGGATATCCCAGCGAAATTGTCTGCCTCCTTGACTGTTCCTGGGCTACAGCCACGCCTCATTGCCGCCCTCCTCCCCAGACCCGTACCTCCCTCAATACTCCCCTATGTCCCCCTACCTTAACCCTAGGGTGTAAAACACCGCCTTCCCATCCGTTGCTACAAGGCACTCACCCCTCCTCATCCCCTTAGAACCTAACCACCCTTACCCTGCCCAGCCCCGTACCCCATCCCACAGCAGGCTTTAAAAGTAAAGCCTGTTATCACCTGTCTATTGAAACACGGCCTTTTAATTCACCCTCCTGCTTCTTCGGCATCTGTACTCAAAGGGGCATCACGGACCCCTTCCGAAGCCCAAATTTCTTCCCATGTTATAATCCTTCACCAGCATACACGTGCTCCCCCTGCCAAGCGCATCCAGTAAATTTCCCAAACCCCAACCCGCTCCACCAAACAACAGATTCTCTCCTTCCTGGGTGTGGTTGCTTCTTCACCTCAGGACACCAGGTTTTGCTATTCTAACTAAACCATTGTATAAACTCACTAAGGAAAATGTATCCAACCGTATTAATCCCAAATCCTTTCCTCACTCCTCCTTTTGCTCCTTAAAAAACAGCTCTAAAAACTGCTCCCTCCCTAGCTCTCCCCAACC